GGGCCCCCCCCCCCCCCCCCCTGTTGCTACGCCGTCGTTTTTCTGTTGCCATTAAAACATAACCGTCACGAATCGTTTTTAGCCTGTCGCAACTGTCGTCGAGAATAGAACTCAAGTCTATCTCGATGACACTGTTGCAACTGTCGTGAACTGTTGCCAGCGTGTCGCGACAAGATTTTTCTACATGTTTCCTCTGACGACAATTACAACACGTTTGCGACAGTTAAGCCCTGGGCAAACTAGGATACATTGTTGCGGAAACATTTGTGATTCTCGATGTTTCCTCAAATGTTTCCATGTTTGCCCACCCGGCCCGTGGAAACATTGTCGCAGAAACATTTGATGTTTCCCTATGTTTCTCACTAATGTTTCCTTGTGTTTGCCCACTCTGGGAAACATGGCGAAACATTGGTAGGAAAAATGTTTCCGCAACAATGTTTCCTAGTTTGCCCTGGGCTTTATACGACCATATTGAAACCAGATTTTACCGAATCCTCAGACAATATATTTTACCACCCTCATTAATAGACCTTTCCCCTTATGAGTGAAATTTTGATCTATATAGATATGCGTGGACAACACTTTCATCATAGCATGAAAGAGCATCACAAAATTAGTAATATTCCGAAGTTTCGTTGCGAAATGTTGTAAAATGCGGATAATATAGCCTTGCGAAGTTTGCCGTTTTTCAGGCATTTTGCATTACAATCTAACATTTTGCATCAGTTTGATCATCTGATTATCAATTTTCCGTTTGTAATACCAAATCACTGAAAAACGGCAAACTTCGCAAGGCTATATTATCCGCACTTTACAACATTTCGCAACGAAACTTCGGAATATTACTAATTTTGTGATGCTCTTTCAAGCTGTGATGAAATTGTTGTCCAGACTTGTCTAGATCAAAATTTCACTCAAAAGGGGAAAGGTCTATTGTAATCTATGTAACAAGGCATTAGTTTGAATACCTGAGATGACATATTTTCTTTCTGGATTTTTACTGTAGAATGAGTAACTGTCCGGTTTCCCTACAACGTTGGTCTCCTAAAATTGAAGTAATTTCATTGTTTACTTTGTCAAATACAGTATTTATTCTTTCTCAGGGTGTCCTCTCTTTGGTGAAGGTGAAATTCAAGGACTTTTCCAGGACTTTCAAGGCCATTTTTCAGTAAATTCAAGGACTGGGAAAAATCTTTGAAAATGGCACGGATTTGGCGATTTGCCCAGCAAATGATTCACTTTATCCAGTAATTTTAATCAAAATCACTAATGTTGGCACAGCTGGAGGTTAAGGAAATTAATTCCACGACTTTCAAGGACTTCTACTGACTTTCCAGTCCTGGAATATTTTTTTTCCAATTCAAGAACTTTCCAGGATTTTCAAGGCCCGCATGGACACCCTGTTATTCTTTCTACACTGTTGTGGGATACATGGCCGGATTTCAAAGGGAGGTATGCGTAGGTGCGCACCTCTCGTGACTCCTGAGATCGTTTAGCACTTCCCCTCAGAATTTTTGCACCTCCCCTTGGGAAAGTTTCAACGACAGATCAAAGTGAAAATTTGACATTTTTTGGTTGCTTAGGGTCTACACTTCGTAAGAAAGTTTTTTTCTGTAAAATTGCAACAGTGATAGCCAGGGCAAAATTGAAGGTCGGACAAACCTACAGTTAGGTCAGACACCTGAATACGCTCCGGTCAGACAAACAATAAACCTCAGTTTCACTTAGGTCGGACGAACTGTCCAGTGGTTTCCTTACAACGTCGGACAATTTCACGAATGGGTCTGTGACCGACGAATATTTTAAGGCCTGAGACCCTGCGGTGGTCACTTATTATGATGTTATAAATAAAAGGTTTTAACTGCAATCATGCTTTTGCAGTTTGAATCATGATTCATGGGTATAAAACTATAAACTTACATTTATTTTCCAACATTGTTCCGTTTGGTCGGCATTGTTGCCACAAGCTAGCATCAAATCAGTATTTTTTTGTGGGATAATCTCACCAATTATGTTGCCACATTCCTTTCAAGAAAAACATCAAGTAGTTGAGCCTCTCTCCTCCGCAGAGGCTTCTGTTGGCTATGATTACGATTAGTATTGAGATACATTTCACTACACTTTACATGGCGGATCTTGGAACACGAGTGGAGCCGCTGATGAGCAGACATAACTATAGACCTGTGGCGGAAACTAGGGGGGGGGGGCAGGGGGGCGATCGCCCCCCCCCCCCAATAATTTTAGCTAGCTTTCATTTTGAAAAATGTAACATGCGGGCCACGCGCTATACCTGGCCAATAAGGAGCTCCCGTAGCCAGATGACGTCAAAAATCACGTGTGTAGGTGCACTTTTACCTTTAGAATCGATTTCTGGCATTTCCAGTCATACATACGATAGTGAAATTGTATTTCCGGTTGGGATTAGCTCAGTCGGACCAGAAATGGAAATACCGTGATAAAGATACAAATTTGAAGATACTGTATATAGGCTCGAAAATGACACTCTAAATAGTGTTTTTGATAGCGATTCGAACAAGACTAGCACAAAGAAAATACATCCGAAGGGGCTGAAGTTATGTTCGGGGAAAGGTATGGCTAGTCTATATTATTACATACGTCTCGCTTGACTTTCAAAGGCCATAAATCGCTACAATGTTGGCAATGACAAACTATCGTGAGGAATTAGTTGATATTGTTTCACTGAATCGAATGGTGGTATTATTGTCTTCATAGCATGCACTGAACCGAAGATATAAACATACAAAGTCGTCAGCTTCTAGAAGTTGCGTGGGACTTGTCGAGAAAGAGTTAAACCACCTTGCAAATTCCATTCACAAATGTATTTAATCATCTAGGATTTTTCTGAAATGTCGTTTTTTATGTTTAGCATATGATTTATAACAAAATGCACCATTAATTAATGTTTTGAAAACCTGAAATTTCTTACAGAATGTGCTCTCAGAATGGTGCAAATTAGGCTTGGGCGGTTTACCGGTTTTATTTTCAAACCGGTTTTTTCGGTTTAGCTTTTACAAAAACCGGAAAACCGTCATTACGAAATTGTTTACTGTCAACGCCCGAAACTCGATCCTAATTCTCAAAACATGACACTAATTAAACACAATTACATGACACTAGATACAAATTATATTCTTTTTCCGTAAAGTCGGTAAGAACTAAAGAGGTATAAGTTTTCAAATGCGTTCTTGACCCTTTTATTTTAAAACTGAAGTCGTTTTAGGTTACCTTTAATACACAATTTTGCGTTTTGTCATGTTCTGTTCGTTTGCTTATGTCAAAAAAACACCACAATTCCTCCTCATTCAGTTGAAATACAAATTAAAGGAAAAAAAACGGTTTAGAATCAGACGGTTTTTCGGTTTTGATTTTAAGCAAAACCGCCCAAGCCTAGTAACTTAGTGCAAATGCCATTTCAGGGACCCAAATTTTAAAAATTTTCTGGGGGAGCATTCCCCCATGCCTTGCACTTCGCAAGGCTATAGTATCCGCATTTTACAACATTTCGCAACGAAACTTTGGTTATTGCTAATTTTTGCTGACCAACTGACCATTTCACACGAACTTTTATCGCTGGATAATTTTGAGATTTTTCATCCAATTCAATCATATATATGCTCAAAATCTTCGCGGTAAGTTTCTCTTTACCATAAAATTTGACCGAATAAGTTTCGAAACAATGCGACGGCAAAAAATGCAAAAATCCTGATTTTCGTAATAGAATCTATAGTCTTTTTGCCCTGTTGTACCGCCATCTTGGATTTATCATATAGGCCCCGCCTGCGCTAGGTATGCGTTAGCAATCTAGATCTCCTATATCTATGTGGCTGCCCCTACTTTTGAGTAGGGGCAGTCAGAACAGTCATGTGGCCATTTTCGGTTCGATTCAATTTGTGTTCCGAAAATCCGGAGTACTCCGAACAGTAAATGGAGCAGCCTCCTATAGCTCAGCCAGTGAACTCTAATACAATAAGGGCGGTAGGCCACGACATTCCCAATTTCATTAAATTGCTGAATTTTTTAATCTCCTGACTAACAGCCTGTAATGTGACACTTGAAGCATTAAAGTGTCCCTGTCACAAAATGTGAGTGTATATTTTTGAAATCTAAGATACAAAATATACGGAAATTTGAAAACCGAATCGAAATTGCTTTTTTAGTCTAAAAGTTATTGCCGTTTAAACATTGAATTTCGCCTTGTGAAAAATCTGAAAATCGCGCAAAGGAGACTGGAGCGAAACAATGCATGTGATGTAATAGTAGGGACTTGTCTAGCTCGCTAATATAGAAATACTATTGTATGTACTATCATTTTTACTATCATAAATACTATTGTATGTACTACCAATTTCCCAGCTTTGCGGTTTTCAAAAACGTTTGCCGTTAAAATTTGAAATTTTCAAATTTCATTGCCTTATTACTCTGTGAAAACAAGCTCAATTTAAAATCTGGTTTGTATTTTTATAATCTACGATTCAATAAGACTCTAATAACTCTCATACAGGGGCACTTTAAATTCAAAATGGTACAATATCCTAATAGTAGTTTACAACATACTTTATGTATCCCTTGTTTCACACTGTACATACAAGTTTTGTGATCGTTTTCTTTGCTTGGGATTGAAATGTTATGAATCAAGTTTCCATCCATGGTTATCTGGAGTACACCATCCCTTTGTAGAAATAAAACACAATTATTTTTCATCATTCTTTACACTGCTCACAGTAGGTACATTCATTGCTTTTGGAATCCTTTCCGAGGAGGGGTGGATTTACCAGTGGCGTGCAGGGGGAGGGGGATGCACCCCCCCCCCTCTCGTAGTGGTGTCCAGCACCCCCTTGAAGAAAACTCTGGTATTCCATACTTGAGTTGTGAATACTACTTAATTATTAAGTTGAAATGATTGATTTTCGTATACGCAAGATTCAAGCACCAATACGGTGGTGGGTCATCAAATAGCGTAGAGGAGTGATAGATAACCGCAATAATCTGTGAGTGATCATTTATCATATCACAGAAAAAGTTGAAAATCGCAAGCGTCATGATTTGATATGCTGCCAGTGGCGTAACTACTATGGGCTCAGACCGTGAGAACCCGGGGGCCCCAACCTAAATGGGGGCCCCCAGGCTTAGGCAATAGAGCAAAAACATTGGTCAGGGCCTCTGATATGTTACAATGTAGTTTTATGACCATCAGAATTCTGTAAAATCTCTCCCCAAAGTCCAGGAAATGGCATTTCAGAGAGTCTAAATTCAAAAATTTTCCGGATAAGCATGCCCTGGACCCCCTAGAAATTTCGTGCATATATATACGGCGCTCGACTCGTGCCTTTGGCACTTCTACTAGGGGGGCCTTCGAAAATTTTGAACCGGGGGCCCCCTAATATAACGTTACGCCACTGTATGCTGCATGACGTCATCTTACCTTGGGGACAAAAATTGAGCCAAATAATGATGACCACTATTGAGTTAATTTGTCCCGGGGCTGGGTTGTGAACCAATGCAAGCGGAGCCAGATATTTGAGCTGTAAAGCAGCCAGAGTCAATGCTACAGCAGACTTTGCACAGCACCAGTTAGAAGGCTTTTTGCAAAGAGCCTATTCAAGCACTCAGATTATGCCTGAGTACAATTGTATTTCTAGAAATTCCACAGTGGGCTTCGGTCAGTTCGGAGGTGCAGTCGTCACAGCAAGTGCTTAATTCACCTCTGAGAATGTGGGTTCTATTCTCACTACGGGCCCATATTATTGTGAAAAGAGTCAGCAAATGCTCTGCCGAAAGTTGTGAGTTTATCGGTCACTGAAAAAATGAAGCCCTGTTGGGGAGTGGCTGCTAGCTGAATGATATACAGTGTATATGATATATGATTCCTGAGTGTTGTTTCCTTTGCCTCAGTAAGTACAGGCTCGTAAACACCTTGACTTCAGAAACTAATTGTCAACTGGTCATTGCAGTCAATTTTACCATAGCCTGCGAACAGGCTCTCAAGCTGAATTGAGAGCCTGCATCGATGACTAATGAATTTGAATATCTGCCCCGTAACATTCGTTTTTCCAAATATGGAATGTCTATCCTTATATGGTGTTGTTTACAACTTTCGTGCAAACTAAATTTAGACTGTGCAAACTAAATTTAGACCGTACAGTTTATACTGTTTTTCGAAATATAAGATATTCAAGCAAAAGTTCAAATGTTTTAAATACTGTTTTCTCAAAACAGAACATTTCGTGTCTTGATATAAGACGGCCAAGACCAATTTGATCAGTTAATGTGTTTTTTTTATGCATATTGCTTCAGCAGTTGACATATATAGAGCTCAGCGGAAACATATAAATTATAGCATCTGACCAATGAGAATGTCGCGTCACGATTAGAGACGCAGATATTCAAATTCATTAGTCATCGATGCAGGCTCTCAATTCAGCTTGAGAGCCTGTTCGCAGGCTAATTTTACCATGGTGCTTGTACTATAAACAGGTGGGAAATTTGTCGTCGCTGACCAAAAAATTGCGGGCAGAAACAAAGCTCATTGCATTTACATTCAAAACAAAGCAGAAAGTTAACAAGAAGCCGTTTTAGCTGACGATTTTTTGCTTTCCATTCAACGAATTACAAATTATTGGTTATTCTTTTAAAAGTCGATCATGAATTCTTTGTTTTGGGATGATTGTTTTGTAATCGAGTGATTGGAAGAAGTTAATATGGCGACGTGAACATGGGAGTAAATACCGTATACGTCGATCTATGGCTTGTTTAAAACCGTGATAAACGAAGAAAGACGTGATTTGAGAATGAAATGTAAGTTGAAATTAACTTTATATGCCTCAAATTTTCCATCCTATGTTTCATAATGTAACTTCAGCTGTCTAAGTTCAAAATAAAAGCTCGCGAAATTTGACAAATTTTGAAAATATGTAAAAATAGCTTGACTTTGAACTGTAGTTTCTCAAAAATAGCCCGTGGCCTCAATTTTAAATATAGTTAAATGAAAAGAAAAAACTTTTCGGCGTTTTTAGGTATCAAACATATCGTCAGGAAAATAGGGGCTCACAATGTTTTAGTTCAGTCTTTGAGATCCAGTTGCTTCGCACGTGTTGTGGTCAAATTTTTGCCAAGAATCAAAGACCAAAATGTGAACTTCCTTCATGAAAACCGCTTCGAAAAGGGTCTAGTTTGAAAATTTAGCTATTAATTTCGATTTCATGAGCATATTTTGGTTACACGTTAAGTATTTTTGTGCTTGATGAGATTCAAAATTTGTTGTATATTCAATCCCGGCTTTTGTGTAATTTTGGTGATGACCGGAACAGAAATAAAGATATTTTAAAAACTGGCCGTGGCCTCACGATAAAACTTTCTACAAATGTTCTCTGTTTCATGTACTTTTATTTGATATCTTAGGTATAAGCGTAAAAATAGGGGCTCATACAGTTCGAGAGGTTGTAAAATGCATGACTTGCCTCTATTTTCATGTAAACATTCGAAATTCTTCGACAGCAAAGTAGCAACTGTTTCAGATCGAATGCACACGGACAGCCCACCAGAGACAATGGCAGGGTACTGAAATAGAACGTCACTAAAAAATTCTGTATGATTCATTTAGATCATGTCTACTCTTTCAACATAAAACAGTCATTTATTTTGTACAAACATTTGGCAATATTTACACGATTGTGCCTTTTTGTAAACACGCGTTGCGTGTATTCCACGCCATTGCGTGGTTCATTTTACTCGCGCATGCTCAGACAAATTTCCCACCTGTTGTACTATACCTTATTCCAACAAAAAACGTTGGTGTATTTTTCTTCTGGAGAATAACGGTAAAGTCTGTATAATTGGAATTTTCACTTGGAAATATTTTACAATCTGAAAGAAACAGAATAAACAGTTGACTATCATATGTAATAGTAAATAAATTGGACAAGCACTCATTGGACCTATTCCCTAAGGAACAAAATTTTGATCTAGACAAGTCTAGACAAACATTTCACCACAGCTTGAAAGAGCATCACAAAATTAGTAATATTCCGAAGTTTCGTTGCGAAATGTTGGAAAATGCGGATAATATAGCACTGCGAAGTTTGCCGTTTTTCAGTCATGTTGTATCACACACAGGAAATTGGTACCACTTTCTGAAAAAAGGTATCAATTTCCCGCGCATAATACAAAATGACTGAAAAACGGCAAACTGTGCAGGGCTATATTATCTGCATTTTACAACATTTCGCAAAAGAAACTTCGGAATATTACTAATTTTGTGATGCTCTTTGAAGCCCTTGTTTCAAGCCGTGACAAAATTTTTGTCTAGACCTGTCTAGATCAAAATGTTGTTCATTAGGTAATAGGTCCATTGAGCATGTACGGCTCACTAATGCACGCCTCAAAGCATGTGTGCACACACTTTTCGTGACGAAATTATTTTATGCAGGGGCGTAGCATGACCTTTTTAACTGGGGGGGGGGTGTAACATCTAAGTTTTACCGACCCATGCGCCACGAGGCGCCACCATGGTTGGCGCCGAGTGGAAAATTTTTGAAAATATGGAGTCTCTAGATCGTTGGAAATGGCATTTTCAGAACCTTCTGTACCTTATACACACAAGGTTTGGTAGCTTTTATTTATATCGAACAAAACCATATTGTTGAAGTTGTGTTATTTTCGAAATCCGTGAGAATCCGTCAGATATTAACAAGCTGTGAGACTGTGAGTGTGAGCTCACCGTGAGGTTTTATTAGAATCCGTGACCGCCCCTTATACGCTACATATAACATATACCATAACAGCTATACAGCAATTGACAAATAAATATTTCGGCGCGCGTTTAATTTAATGACACTTACCGTGACTTTAGTCAGCCGTCTAGAAATAACGTAGAACCAGAAACGTAGCAAACGCTTTATTAATTGGAATAATTGTTGTCTTTGTTACTTCGCGATAAGTCATTTTACCCAATGGCATTTATCTTGTTGTTTATTGTAATGAACAGACTTGAAAAATTGGCGAAACATTTTATGAGCACCGCGTGTCAATAACAAATATATAAATATAATCTTTAATTCTTTTGCGTATCATTGTATCAAGGTCAAAAGTTCGCGCACAGTTGAACATGTCCAATCAGAACCGACTGTTTTCGCAGCTCTTGCAAGTGTAATACGATAGGAAATTAGGGGCTCCAATGCTTATGCGTAGATATTTAATATAAGTGTTTTAATACTGAAGAATTACGTACATTTTGCATAACTTTATTGGAGAACAAGGCACAACATTAATTTAATTTTTTTTTATTATTAAAAGCCATTTACCGAGGAGCAAAATTCCACTTTAACCGATTTGTTTTACCGACCGCTGTCATGGCTCTTGCCATTACCGAATAACTTCGCGTTTTACCGACTACCTCACTAAAACTGGGGGGTGTCACACCCCCCCACACCCCCCCGCACGCTACGCCCCTGATTTTATGGGACATGTTTAGTGATTGTCTGATTCTGCCTTGATCATAAAGTATAGATTATTTATGCAACAATCTATTGAATACCAATTTTATGATGTCATAATGACGTCATAATGTCAGTCAATCGAGTAAAGGTGATGCCATTCATTCATCATAATTTCTAATGTAAAGTGCTACTGCAACTAAAGTTTGATAAAACCGAGTTTGTATGTCTGATACAGCACGGACACAAATGCTTTACATAGCTTGTGAAACGTATTGGCAGGGTTTTCAGTTTAGGCCGGCGAACGGCAAATTTCGCCAGATGTTTTCATTCAACCCCACCCAAATTCGCCAGAGCTTTTACATAAATATATAATCCATGTGCACGAATGATTGTGAAACTTAACTGAGGTGCAGTCTACATAGTCTAGGCGTTTTCCTTTCACCATAGCTTCATCGCCATTAGCCAGAGCCTCGCACAAAACTGAAAACCCTGTATTGGTCAAGTTTTCATCAGACATGTTATGTAAATATAGATGAAATATATGATAAATACAGAATCATTTATCAAACCTGGGCAGTTCATGGTTTTGGATGCATGATCTAGAGCTGGTACACTGCACAATACCATGGGGATGATGGCTAGGCAAAATATATAACATTTCATCTTGTTTGAAATCTGAAAAAAAAAAACACAAATGTTAATTTTGATTGTCGGTCATTTCCCAAGTGTCAGACCATCCAATCCAGAGGGGTGTAGGCATCGAAAAAAATCCCAGAGAATTCCCAATACACCACTCGAAATCCTTAAACAAGTGCAAATAAAATCCCTAAAAAATTTTGTAAATCTTTGACAATTTCTAAAAACCCCCATAAATCTGGAAAAATCAAAAGGGAGTCTGGAAAACCGCAAAAAATCAGAAAAAATCTGAAGCAATTTTCAAAACCCCAAATTTTTTAATATACTTCAAAATACACTTTTTTGGAGTGATACACTCCTTGTTCCAACTTGGCTGTGAAAGTCATGATTTCAGGTCACAATGGGTCATTCCAGAAAACATCCATACCACCCCCACAGAGGAAATTGGAAGTTAACCCCCCTACCCCAGACATTCCAACTACTGGAGGTAAAATTTAGGGAGACTGTTCAGTGAATTGAAATCTTGTTCTTCTGGGAAAAAATTTTAAAAATTAAGTCTTCTGAAATGGTGTTTCCTGCATTTTCGGAATATGTTGTTATAAGTGATCCTATAAATTGCTATAAAGTAACCATAAAAAGGTCAAAACAGACTATTATGTTGCTAAAAACGGTATGTTTATGATTTTTTTACGATATTTCCCGAACATTCCGAAAAATCGGGAGAAACATTTGATAAAAATCGGGAGACCAGGAGATTGTATGAATTTTCGGGAGACTCCCGGTAAAATCGGGAGAGTTGGAATGTCTGCTACCCCCTTCGGATGTCCTAATACATTTGCTATTATCAGAAACAATTTTGTCTCCCCTCACCCTCCGGACGGCAGAAATTTCCTCCGAGAGGGGAGTGTGGATCTTTTCTGGAACGATCCAATGTAATCTAAAAATCTAAGCTTCAATCTAAAAATCTATGTAGTAAGCTTTTATGGAATTTTTAATCTAAAATCTTTGGTCCAAATCTGCATGCTGGGACAACAGCTTAAATCTCGGGGTTTTCCACAAAGAATGGTAATCCTAATAAAATACTATCCAAACACATGATGTTACACAATGTTATATAGCATGGTGTTACACGTTAATACATGGTGGAAATTATATCTTTTACTGCCAACCCTATAGATATTTATATATACAGTAATTAAAACAATGACATGTATCAATGCATTTTCCCACACAGAAATAAAATGAGTTAAAAATTGAAACTGAAAGATGCTTTAATGACGGTCAAATATTTATAACTACCAGGCGTTTGTATGCAGTACAAATATGGCGTGCTTATCCAATATATACAGTTAATAAGTACATATAAATAACCACACGAATTGTCTTAAATAATTGATGGCTCAGACTGTAAAATCGTGACAATGCACGCCCAAATTAGACATCAAATTATAAAAGCGATATTTCCTAAATATTATTACAGTAAAATATATTTCCCATTTCAGAGAAAAATGTTTCTAATTCTTAAATATGATCTACACTTTACGGCACTTGAGACCCTTTAATTATGATAGTAAAAAATAACAAATATATACGCTATTAAAAACATGAAAGTTCTACTCAAAATACTTGTTTGGCCTTGTTGACTGAAGCGTAAAAGTTTACAATACAATTGGCGGATTTCGTTCTAGAATTTGTCTTGTCAAAATAGTGGCAAATATTTGAGCTTTATTCCCTTATTTATATTTGTTTTAAACGCTTCTAATGGGAGGGAATGTCGATTCAAACTGATTCTACTTTGTATAGCGTCTGAAAACGGATCACATAAAATGGATTAGAGTAATTAAAGGCAAACTTTTCCCATTTTTCTTGTGAATTTTGCCACCGAAAATGATACACTGTAATTTAACAATTCCATTTTTCTATACACGTTTTATTTCATACCACAAATAAGTATACTCAATTTAAAAACCCCCAAAACATCACCGGATATTATTTAGCAGTTGTTAATAATACACAAAGGTTAAATTTGAAAATCCAAGACATATATTACAAGATATTTACCTCTATAAACCTTCCACGTTTCGAAGAAAACATGATGTATTAATAGATAACCTTTACTTACTATTATTATAATTGTGAATGACGACAATAGAATAGCACGCAAGATAATTTATTTTTATAAACAATCATATATATTGCACTATGTCTATGGCTGTATTCCAATAACTATGTTTTACATGTACACCAGTGACACATTGAAGAATCCACTCGTAAAACCAATATCGAAAAGAAATTAAACTCACCTGTGTGTTAGTAGAACTCAAGACAAAGAATTTTATAATCAAAACATATTTCGTGCCAAAATAGAGCTAAAAATGACACCAAATTCTGTTTATTCTGAATTCAAATGTTCGGAACGACGCTCAACAAACACTAGTTCCAGGCTCCCGTTGACACCCACCGGAAATAGAAAATCGCTTCAGAAGAAAAGTTCGAAATTTATATGGTAAACGCCCTAAAATGAAGAATAATGGACGCTTTTCCTAACCACAAGCTACTAGAGATTTCCACTGATATCTTTCAGTTGACAAATATATAATTTACGACGTTTTATTGACGCTACATTGATAAGATCTGTGTCTGTCAGGGGGGAAGTGATATATAATAGGCAACCGGATATTATTTTGCAAACAAAAAGAGGTCGGCGGTCTAGTGGGTGTATTCTAATTAGAACAATATTAATATGTTAAATTTATATTTTTATATTTTCGGAACACGTTTTCGCACTACAACGGTTTTGAATCTAAAGTAACTCAACTTTCTGATTTACTAGTATTTCGGCCAATTAAATGAATTGAAATTAAAATACGAAAGTGAAACGGCTATATTTACATATTTGTATTTATACAGGCTTTCAAAGACACCCAGGAAATGACGTTTTGAGTTGTGTCACTACTATCTCTTCCCGTTTCCCGCTCTTTTGAAACGGCGGATTTGGCGAGATTAGCTGAGTCAATAAACAAAAGATGTAATGATTTTTTGTCGCATAAAGTTGGCAAATATAGTGCACCATTAAAGGTGGTTTATTTGAACTACCTAAGCCAAGCTGGCAAGGGAGAATGTGGCTAATTGGCGCTATTATAAGGCTATCAATTATTCATTTACACAAGAGGACAGTGGGCAGTCATGTCATGGCCTGTCATGTTAATGTTTTTCCCCGTATGAAACAGTCTTGCATTTTGTAACAAAAATAGAAACTCGTGATGTAGTTGTTTTTTTTAACGCCTACATACAGGAACTACATGTACACTGAGCTTATGAGCTGTAATGTAAACGTGAGAGGTTAGGCCACCAGCTACATGTGGGAGGGCAACGCAATGACAACGCCAACGGCCAGAATAAAACCATTCAAATAAACGATTGTAAAGAAAGTTTGTAGACTATTATTGGTCGTATCAATTTAATACTGTTTGGTTTGCTTGAAATAGTGGCTTTATTATCGAGAAAGTTCTAGTATGGTGCTGAGCTATTTGCTGAGTATCACTTCTCGCGTCTTGAAATGCAGGCGTTTTATTCGAGACGTAAAAGTCTGTAGTTTCCCGTTGTAAACAGACCGTGCACGACGTCTCAAACTACCGTGGGATGCTTGTGTGAAGTTTATACTCTGAGTGTGTATCCACACCGGGCAGGCTTGAAAAATATGCCTGGCCACGGTGGGAATCGAACCTACGACCTTTGGAATACTAGCCCAATGCTCTGCCAACTGAGCTACGCGGCCAGATCGGTTCGAATATGCGATATTTCGGAATCTAGTTCCTTCTATATCCGTGTAATCTAATAATCCCGTGGGATATTAATAATTCATTTTTTTTACTTAAATAAAATGTTATGAATCTCATTCAGACGTTGCCGTCCCACATCGTAAGGTTTCTATTAAGTATTAACGCTCAAGCCTGGTTTCCATATAGTCGTAATGGTGGTGAAGATTGATAGAGTCTCGATCTTTCTGAACGGCCACTTTATAATAGTTTATACTGCTGTAAACCACATACAAATCATATAAGTATTCTCTAGTTATAATCACTCCGCGTATTTTCAGTTCTAAAATGTTGTATTTCGGCTGATGAGAAAGATCGTGACTCAATCTTTACGACCGTTACGACCATATGAAAACCAGGCTTTACTGAAAACTACCAAGTCCAAATAATATTGAAACAGACCGCATATTAACAAAACTTCAGTTGGTATAAAAATGCAGCTGCCTGAAAGAAATTCAACGTTTCGACTTCGAGCGAAGGCCCTTCGGCTTCGTAGTTTCAGGTAGCTGCATCTCTACCACTGGCCGAAGTGTCGTTATTATTGCCACTACCTAGAATCGAGATTGACCGCATATTATGCGATGTTTCGCCACAGTTTTGCTGTGGAAAACTCTTAGTCATGCTGACAAGTAATAGATGAAGTATGAGCGGCCCGGTATAGTCTGATACAACACGCGGAACGCGAATGCTTTATATAGCTTGTGAAACGTCTCGATGAGAGGGTCCTGAACGGGGGGTCGTATTCCCATTTCCCAGCGCAAATTTTGACTAAATCCTATTGTCCCATAGCACAAATCCCATCATCTCTGTAGCTGTCCTGCTCAAATCTTAATCCCATTCCCATTTTCTATTGTTTTTTTGCTGATGAATCCCAGTCCCAGTGCATGAAATCCCATTTCCCACCCAAAAATAAGCAAATCCCAGTTCCCATTTTACCCCTTCAGGACCCTCCGATGAGAACATTCGTATTCTTCAACAATTTAAAATAAATGATTAATGATAATTGGTGAGAAAATTAAACTTATAGTTTATGTAAATCAGCATGACATCTGTATCGGATATACAAACTTAACTCCTTCACGTTCATGATATCTTTTGTGTTTTCTTCATGAATTATTAATAGCGAGCTTAAGACGCCCCAAATCTACGACGCGGACGTGAAGAAAAACTGCAAGTCTGCAACTATTCCCACAGTTTCACTACACGGATAAAAATTATGGCCTCCAGTTGGTAAACAAAGTCAGAGACACAAGTGAAGCAAAATAAAACTGGATGCCAAACATTAGCAACGGATTTTATGTCACGTCCGCGTCGTAGATTTGGTGCATCTCAAGCTCGCTAATGAGTTCCACAAGAAGAGGTTTTAATTTATACTAGCGGACTCTAGCACGTGCCTATAGACAGGTGGTTTACAGGTGATTTACATGAGACACGTTTCATGTATACAAAACACTTGTAGAATCGTTGGCGGACGCCCTCGCACGTCAGGTATACAAAATAACAAAGGTTTTCTAAGAACGAAACACTTTCATTGTTCTGAACGCAAAAGTAATTTAGCCACTGACTGTAAAATTCCTTATCCATCCGAAATAATTTTCTTGGTAAAATGATAAACAACCGCTTTAGTCAAGAACTCTTGCAGAATGTTAGAAAGCACTTTCTACAAGCATAGCATATTCAACCGGCGTTGTCTATAACTTATTTACAGCGGGGTGTCCCCCAAAAAACTATTGAAATAACGTACTATTAGAATTTGAATGCCTCAGCACTCTGCTGAAGCCACAAGTGCATAAAAGCTTGGCATAAGTAAATTATATGAAAAAGAAACTGTTTAAGAAGCTGCTTTAAATTCCCAAGAGCAGAAAACTGTGCGCTTTACAAAGATATTTCAATTTCCCTGTCAATATTTTACCCATTTTTGCGTTCAGCTTAGTGCTAGCTAGGGCATTCAATTCTAACAATACGTTATTTCAATAGTTTTGGGGTTTTTTGGGACACCCTGTATGCTTCTGAATAATCTGAAAACTAGAATAATATAGTAAACTAGGCATGTGCGTTATCTAAATTGGTGAATTGGGTATATTAAATAATCGTTGGCCAAATTTGTCTATTGAGTACCATATTTAAAAACATAAAAGAACCTCACTGCGTTTATATTGTTAGTAATTGTTGTGTTAGTGACTATGACTATATGACTATATGACTATATGACTATGACTATATGACTATTACTATATGACTATGACTATATGACTATATGACTATGACTATATGACTATGACTATACGACTATGACTATACGACTATGACTAAATGACTATGACTATATGACTATATGACTATGACTATATGATTGTCTATGACTATACTGTATGACTATGACTATATGACTATTTAACAATTAGTCGCCGAAGGCGAGGTGATTACAAGCCTATATTCACTGAGCCGAAGGCGAAGTGAATATTGGCTTGTAATCACCGAGCCTGAGGCGACTAATTGTTTTAGTATAAATTTCCAGGTGTTTACAAACAATAATCCACACAACTTTATAAAAATTCACTTCAAATAAATTTATTTTCACTATAAATAGTTTGTTTACAAAATTTAAATCTCAGACACGGCTCTGTGTCGCGTTGCGACTAAGCCCGTTTTTTTCCAAATAAAAGCACGTAAAGTTAAATATTTTACCTTGAAATATTTTTAAACCATATTTTGCAGCTTGTTTGGGTTTTTTTAGAATGCCATCTTCTTTAATTTTGGCAATTTTCTCTTCTATTACTACTGCAAAACGAGCAGCCATTTTGAAAAAAAAGCTATAGTCACTGACCAGTGACTATCACTTCAGAGACAGTGAATCTTGACCAATCAGAATGCAGAAAAATCAATAGTCACCTGGAAATTTATACTAAATGACTATATGACTATATGACTATATGACTATATGACTATATGACTATATGACTATATGACTATATGACTATACACAGTTTGGACTATATGACTATATGACTATATGACTATATGTCATATAATGACCATATGACTATATGATTATATGACTATATGACTATATGACTATATGACCATATGACTATATGACTATATAACTATATGACTATGACTATGGTCTTCAAAACTACAAAATTGGCCTTTGTTTGATGTTGAACTGCATGTACCTCACTGTGCACAAATCCTTTGTCTCAACTTCATTAAATATTATTCATCGTGGTTGCACGTTTCATCTCAGCTATCCCTATTGGATGGTTACTCCATTACACAAAAATACAATGAGCTCAATCACCGTGACTGTACACAAATTAATATAAACTCAGACAAAAATATCAAACAATGACTTTTTTCCAGACTATTATATCTTGATGGACTATGTCTATGCAGTAATCGCGAGTCCAAAGTAATATATGTGAAAAGTACTCAAAGATCTCGAAGTATTTGGATATTTTTATATAGAGGAATATTGGCTATACGTATTTGCATCATATATTACAAAAGTGGTTACATTTGTCATTTGTTCTATATTATGTTTGTGATGTTTAACTATATAATGTTTTAACTATATAACTGGGGCCCCCCGTTCCCACCGTGGCCAGGCATATTTTTCAAGCTTGTCCGGTGTGGATATACACTCAGAGTAACATCACAAACATCATATTCATCTGAGTACATAACACCAACACAGAAAAAATTTTGTTCTATATTATCACGTCTTAGTCATGAGGCTAAATAAAGCAATGTTATAAGAAGTGTCGAACTGTCGGAAAATTAAGGAGTGGTTCGCATTATTACTTCAGAGTATTATTTAATAAATAAAGCAGGAAATAGATTCTGTGAGTCGTTTCCTAGAAGTAGTAATGCCAATATCATTTGAAATATGACACGATCTCGCATAATTTCCGCGTCACATTCCGTCCATATGTTGCACCCACTTGTCATCAGTCACTCCACAAAGAACAATTGCGCTCGGAGTGACCCTGTGTTAGAAAAGTCAAAGACAAAGGAAAATTCCGCTTGACCGCTTCGCGCGCAAAATTCCGTGGAAAACTGGTTTAAAAACGTGGCACAGTTTACAATGTAACGTAGAAAGATCCAGTAGAATTCTGCTAGGCAGACGGGAAATTCTTATAATAATTGCAGGCAACTCATCTGGTAGACTTGTAACAACAAGTCGACTTGTATTTAGCTGCGAGTTCGAGATCAAATTTCTTCAAGTGCGCGCGGATTTTAGCGATGACAGAGCGCCAAGTTTTATCATGGAGATACAATTTCCTAGGTTAACTGATCGCAGTAGGAATTTTACATAACATAGGTAAATTCTACATTTTGAAGGATTTGTAAGAAATGTTGGAGAGAGCCACTGAGCTGACTGGACACTCGCACGTTGATTGGCCATGTCAGTTTCGATGTCAACGATATTATATTTCGAGGTAATTACGTGAGGCACTAGAAACATTTTTTTAAGCATGCTTTAAAATTTTGTGCGTGTTCGATGACATACCCCCAAAGGGTAGTACGTCAGGTATAGCTAAGTTGTATACGTTTCAAGCACGGTCGCATACGGTGGCACACGGCGAGGCAGCATGCTTAAAAATTTTGTGCGTATTCTGACGTGCTTTATGCTTTATAGACCTTTATACGATAAGCATACTCGAGGCACGGCGCTGAATACGCTTTAGGTACGCCAGATGTACGGTACTCATACGCTGGCATTTCAAGGGATTTTTGTAATTTTGTGCGTATGAAAATTATTTCATTAATTTTCATACGCTTCTCATACGTTTCTCTCATACGCCTTTAGGTTAGGTTGGGTTAGGTTAGGGTTGTACTAAAAATAATATAAATAATAGTAAAGAATTTGCCAATTTGGACACAATATCGCATCATTTCTGTACAAGTGCATGCCCCTCACGTAATTACCTCGAAATATAATATCGTTGACATCGTA